AATGAATGAATGAATGAATGAATGAATGAATGAATGAATGAATGAATGAATGAATGAATGAATGAATGAATGAATGGGAGGATGGATGGTGTCACTGAGGCTCACTCTAAGAACTCACAAATCTTACTAAACATAATGTTGAGTTCAGACCAACATGCTACATCTTCATCCCTCCTCACCATCAGATGAAGGCAGGTGATCTGAAAGTGATGAAGGTGATGAAGATGATCTGTCTTCCTGTAATGATTGGCCTTGCGAACCCCTTTAACTTCCCTTTTTTTCCCCAGGAAAAAAAACTTGATTTAAATACTAAATTAAAGCACTTTAGGTGCTAAATACTGGCCACGAGATTTATGACATGTTTAATGTGTTTCAACTGCATATAGTTGTAAAAATATATACATTTAGATATTTCCAGCATCTTTAAACTCACTTTCCCCTCATATTCTAAATTATCTTTATACTTTGTGTTTTCATCTGAATCACCTGTTTCAGTTATAAAATCTACTTCATTCTCTCTAATCTTTATTTCAATGTTTTTTAGTTGATTTAATAAAAAAAACTTTTTGAATGTAACACTTTTATTCATGCTCAGAAGTTTAATGTAAATTAATTTCGTGAGGTCATCGCTGGACGCACGCGCCTGCACACCTGTGGCCTCTTACCTGTGCTGCAGGGCGACCAGCCCCAGGGTCAGGACCTGGGCCACCTCCAGATGAGTGGGCCACTCTCCCGCAGACACGCAGCCGAACAAACCGCACTCCTCCCCGATCCCGGACTCCTCCAGCTCCATCAGATCAGAACCCGTTTCCTTGAACGTCGAACCCGACCGTCTCGCGCCTGCTTGTCCGCGAGCACCTCTCGTGCGCGCGCATATAAAGTATTGACCCAACACGTGCTTCGGTTATTTTGGATCTACGGAGTCAGCGGACTCTGTTTAACTTTCTGTCACGAGCCCCGATAAACCGCTAACTTTATCACGAGGGTAAAAAAACAACAACAAACGGATCCAGTCAGAACCGTGATCAGAACTTCTTTAGGTCCAAACAGTCAGAACCGTGATCAGAACTTCAGAAGAGCTCTGGTGAAACACGTGGTATCAGTAAAAAGTTCTGCTGGGTTAAAACAAGTAAAAACATGGAGGCAGTTCATGTTTTCTGCTTGTTGAAGTTCGGTCCTGTAGTCACGTGATGAGAAATGCACTGCTGTGATTGGCTGCTTGAATCGGATCGATCGATTTGATTGGTCGGGAGCGGATGTTAAGAAGCGGCCCATCCCATCGCTTGCAGCGCCTCCTCTGCCGAACTGACCTGACTCTGGTTTGTTTCAGGACCGTCCGGAACCGAACACAACCATGGCCTCCAGTCAAGGTACTGTTCTCACACTGAGCRCAATAAAACAGTTTTTTATCATCTGAGACTAAATGTCTGCGCGTGCACGCCTCTCGATTCTAGAGTTGAACCTCGGTCAGAAGCTCAGCGAGGGGAAGACCAAGCAGATCTTTGAGSTAGTGAACCAGCCCGGGCTGGTCCTGGTCCAGTCCAAAGACCAGATCACCGCAGGGAACGCTGCAAGGAAGGACCAGATGGAGGGCAAGGCTGCCATCGCCAACAGAACCACGTGCTGCGTGTTTCAACTTCTGCAGGAGTCTGGTGAGGAGTACACACACACACACACACACACACACACACACACACACACACACACACA